AATTTGGCACACTTCCATGCCGAGCCCAGCACATGCTCAGAAAAGGCAGCACATTAGTTGGACCCAGCTCGCCCCATATCTGTAATAAATTGGGTGCTTTAGTGGGGCTTTTTTGGCACTCTTGTCTAATAGCTGGTTGAATCAGCTTTAGATAAAAGCACCAAAAAACCCCGCTGGAGCACCCAGTCTATACTTCAGTCCAGCTCCATAGCATCTGTAATGCGTTGCTGCTTCCGGTGAAGCACAGCTTGTTTGTTTTTAACCTCTGCAAGCAGCCTACATACTTCCTCACTGGGGCCTCTGGCCTTAGTGCTTTCTTCCCTTGCCTAGTTTTGTAAAACCTATCCCTTTGAGGAGCTGATAACTTCTTAAGCACTTATGCTGAAGAACCAAAGCAGGAAACTGTTCTTCACTGACTGCTTGTTAGCTCTGCTGTCTGTCCTGTGCTCTTGCCTTTCTCTGCTGTGAAGTTCTCCAGCATAAACACCATTGTTGCTAGGAGAACTAGGGATTGAGGCAATGACGTTATAATATTGGCTTAAAACGGGATACACTCCAATAACTTCTGATTACTTACTAAGAAAGACTTCTCCAAATCTCGCTGAAATCAGTTAGTTCTCCATCTCAGCATGTAATTTGGTTAATTATTCCTTAATGAAGTGAAGGGAAAATTTCATAGATTTCATAGACATTAGGGCTGGAAAGGACCTCGGAAGGTCAAGTCCAGCCCCCCACCTGAAGGACAGGAATTCAGCTGGGATCATAGGATCCCAGCAAGATGAGCATCCAATTTAGTTTTGAAGGTGTTCAGTGTAGGTGCTTGGGAGGAGCCTAGGGACTTGATGATCAAGGGAGCCTTCTTATACTGATTTGATGATAATGTGTACTGCAGGAAGTAGCTTGGTAACAAGACATTTGCTCTTTCAGGGTGATGGGTTACAGCAGCCTGGCTGATATTGTTGTGGCCACACCTGGACGACTTGTGGATCATATTGACCAGACCCCTGGATTCAGCCTGAGACAGCTTCGCTTTCTGGTGGGGCAGCTCCATTGATCTGATGTCTTATCACAAGGCTTTTTTTATCAGTAATTTCCACTTTGTGCTTCTTTGTACTCCTAGTATATGTTGACATGAGCACAGCAGTTCCTATATGAACAATCAGATTACTGGTCAATCTGGTCCTAGCATCTGCCTCCAGAAGGGACACGTTACACAATCAAAAGCAGGGGTTTCAGAGTAAAATAGCAAATTGCAGTATTCCACCAGCATGTTGAAGTGTGCATGGAGACCACATGAAACTGTTGCCTTATTAAGACAGTTGGATATTAGCCTGTCTTTTGCCTTTTTATATAAAAGGTATGTGATAGATTTATATTAACAGTAAAACCTGTTAATCATTCTGGGTCTCAGGTTGGCAATGAAACACTGAAAACAGGTACTGAGATGCCTGTCTGGGCTCCCAAGTGCAGAATTCACCTTCCAAGTTTTTCTCTGGAGGAGAAACCAAACAGTTTGGCTTATTAGACTTTTCTGCTTATATAAAAAGATATGTGTGTTGTGTGCACGCTCACTCCCTTTTATTAGCCTCAGAACTTGTTTCAGGCAAAACAAATGTTTCTAGGGATTAAAGTGTCTAGAAGGAAAGCTACAGCTGTCTGATCCCTAACCAGAAGTGGTTTGTATCCATGTGCGCTCAGATCATTGATGAAGCTGACCGTATGATTGATGACATGCACCAGAACTGGCTGCACCAAGTGGTGAAAGCTGCATTCAGAGCTGAAGAGGATTCTCCTTCCAGTGTTCTTTTCCAGAGGACAGAGCCAGGGCCTGTGACAGCAGCCAGGTAACTTGCAAAATCCATTCTGATTCAGTGCCACAGACGAGGACACCAGGTTCCCTCTCTGATCAAGGCTAATGTTCCAATGTCTGCCCTGCCTCAGTGTTGATGCTCATATGCTCCCTAGTGCTCAGTCAGGCTTGACATGTCTCTCTGATAAAGGCTATTGCTTTCAGTGGCTTGAAAATGTGAAGCATTCAGGTAGCAAATATTTGATGCCAAGAATTGATTTATGCTTTTAAAGATAACTCTTCCTACTGCGTCTCCCCAGTCTTTTCACCAAGATTAGCATAAAGTAGAACATGAAAATACTGCAGTCATTCCAATATTATAGTTGACTGAGTTCACTGCATCTATCCACCATAGCTGCACAGTAAATTGCTGGGTGGGATTATTTGCTGAGATAACCCTCACATACTCTTAGGTGTTGGTTTCATGTAATTATCCATGGCACTTCACAGAATAAATGCAGGCAGGTGACTGGCCTTTGAACAGTTTATAGCAGGGGTGGGCAAAATACAGCCCACAGGCCGGATCCAACCCACAGCAGGTCCACAATAGGTTCCTGAGTTCCTCTTGGCTCCAGCACAATCCAGTCATGGTGTGTCCTGCAACCCTCAGACTCACTCCTGCCAGAGCGGATCAGCAAGAACCTGGATACAGCCCCGACCTGACCACCCCGCCCTGCTCCTGCTTCACACCGCCTGCAGCACATTCTGCTGCCCCCAGAAACGCAACAGAGCTGGGGCAGCTCCACAGCAGGACTGCCTTTCTAGGCACCTGCAGCAGGAACTGCCTGATGGTGGCGAGGGGGAGGGGCCGCTTTCTCCTGTGCTGAACAACAGCTTCTGTCCCGTGCCACCGCTGCTCAACCCAGATAGGTGAGCCTGGAACAGGCACAGGGTCAGGGCTGTGCAGCACAGGTTCTCACCAGAGCTAGGGCCAGTGGCAGCAACAGCTGGAAGGAGCCACTGCTGCTTGGGCTGCCTAGAAAGGGAGTCCATCTGCAGAGCTGCCTCAGCCCCGCTCTGTGCTGGGGGCGGCAGGATGCACCATGGGCGATGAGCAGGCACGGGGCAGGGGAATGAGGTTGGGGCCGTGCCCAGGTTCCTGCTGATCCACTCTGACAGGAGCAGGGGCAGGGCGCGCTGGGGCTGTGCACTGTTGGCAGTGGTGGAGAGGGACCACAGGGTGCGTGGGTTCTAGGCAGTTGCTGGACAGGTGCTGACTGGGTCAGGGTGGTATATGTGGTGGGGGGGACTCCCATGCACACCCCACTATACCCACAAGCCCTTCTCTGCAAAACCCACAACCACACCCTCCCCACACACAATCGCAAACTCCACAAATTCTGCACCCACCCACACCCTCCCCGCACACACATACCTGTGTGCCTCTAGGGGGAGCCCCACTCACTGCTATGTGCACACAACCCACCGCACATGCACCCATACCCCACACCCCCATACACACACACCCAGCCACCCTCCACACACCTCACAGCCCCCCACAAACCCCATACCCACCCAGATACACACCCACAAACACCTCCCCACAAACCCACTGTACCTACCCACGCATGTCCACACATACCCCCACACCCCACATACACAAACATCCACACACCCACAGGCCCCCACAAAGCCCATACCCACCACCCCTCCTCACTTCCTACAACATACAAAATCTGGGACTGTTCCAGCCA